ATGCCAAACCCACCACTGGTGTATGTGGCACAATAGCTATATTTTAATGTCATTTGACGATAGCACCGGTTCCAATCCAAGTGCCAATGCTGTTTATCAAACGGTGCTATGGTCAGATGACATGAAAATATAATTATTTGGCCACGAAAAAAAACATTGAAGCAAATGCACAAAATGAACTTATACCTACGGTAAAATGTGGTGGTGCATCTTTGATGTTATTGGGCTATTTTGCTTCCACTGATCCTGTGGTCCTTGTTGAGCTTTACCAAGTACTTTTTTGAGATGTTGTTAACTTTACTTTTTAAACAAAATCTCGGAGCAATTGCATTAGTATAAAATAATATAATTTTTGAATTTCTTGGAGCATGCAAGATATTTATTTTATACAGTCTTTTTTGCTCATCTTTATCAAGGGTGCCAATAATTATGGACCTGACTGTAACTGCTCTACCCCTTTCTCTCTTCAAAATACACTGAGTGTACAAAAATACAAGGACACCTTCCTAATATTGAGTTACATCCCCCCATTTGCAGTCAGAACAGTCTCCTCATTGCCCCTCAGCAAAATTTGCCAACATTTAGGCTTTTGTTTATCTGTGTATTTCACACTATGTTGAGGTAAAAATGCTTGTATGGATCTCCACCCCAACACATGTTCATGTAATCTTCACCAATCAAGAGGAAAGTTGAAGGGGGAGAAAGTAAGGAACTTGTCTGTCGGCCTTGCATTAAAGAACATAATTGGTTAAGGAAAACTGTGATAAATAAAAAAGTATATCAGTTTCACTTAAGGACCAAAGGATTGACAGCAGTCCCATATAGATTGCAAAATAGTTGGGAAGAGATCTTTGACGTACCGATCCCATGGCATAGTGTTTATGAACTGACACGCAAAACGACACCGGATTCAAAAATTAGAATCTTTCAATTTAAATTATTATATAAAATTCTTGCTACCAATATAATGTTATTTATATGGGGGATACAATCTTCCCAGCTCTGCAGATTTTGCTGTGAAGAGATAGAATCATTAGATCATTTGTTTTGGTTCTGTCCATTTGTAGCTTGTTTTTGGACACAGGTCCAGGAATGGCTAAAGGATTGCAATATTTACCTGGAACTAACCTTGCAGATAGCATTACTGGGTGATCTGAAAAGTCATAGTCAATCAATCAATAATATAATAATACTTTTAGCAAAAATGTTTATTTTTAATTCACAATCTGTAGAAGCAATGAGAATAGAAAGGTTCAGAACTTTTGTAAAACATCACAGTATGGTTGAAATATATATGGCAAATAGAAATCCTATATGGATGGTGTTAAGAGATAGATGGGAGGTATTGAATAGAGTTGAAGGATGGGACTAATAACAAATAACAACAAATAATAACAAAGATAGCTAATAATGTAAGCATACTGTGTCCATAATAAGTTAATAGGTTGTATGTTGGGAGCTTTTGGGAAAGAGCACAGTTAGAAAGATATGGCATTTAGAAGCAAACCGGATGGACATCATGAAAATGATCGGAGAGGTTGAGAGTAGAAGAAGTTCAGGAGCAAAAAAAATAAATAAATATATATATATATATATATATATATATATATATATATATATATATATGTATGTATATATATATATATATAGATATAGAATTATTGTAAAATTAACTCTGTCCATAAGGTGTAGATAGTAAGTATAGACCGGAAGTAGAGGCCTGGGCGTTGTTGTTCACTAATTTACTCCAAGTAGGGAAAGGATGGTGGGGTTGAAAAGTAATAAAGGGGAATATATATATATAAAAAATAAAAAAAACATGGGGGATTGGAAGTGATGCAGACAATTACATTGATAGAAGATACAATCTATCTGCAATATTAAGCTGATCCATCCCCCCGAAAAAAATAAATAAAATAATAATAATAATAATTCTTCACCAATCAACTGCATTACAGTTAAATACAACTTTGACTTCCAACACTGATTTCTGTATGCTAGCTATGCGTGGTCCTCTGTAGCTCAGCTGGTAGAGCACGGCGCTTGTAACGCCAAGGTAGTGGGTTCGATCCCCGGGACCACCCATACACAAAAATGTATGCACGCATAACTGTAAGTCGCTTTGGATAAAAGCGTCTGCTAAATGGCATATTATTATTATTATATTATTATTATTACTATGCTAACCAACATATACGAACGGGAATTAGCATTTAGCAGTCACTTCTTCTAAACCTGAAAAGGGATAACTTATAAATGTTGTGCAGCGAAAACAGCCAAATATATCAAAATCGGTCTTAAGTAACCACATTGTGGGCCTGTTACAATACATAAATCATGACGTATTTGAGGAATATCCACTTTGTTAGATCAGATTTGTTGAATGTGCGCCAATCTGGTCAATGGAACGGTCTGCGTTCCATTGATTCCTTTACTGCATCTATGGCCCCAAAATAGGCTCTCGTTCAGTGAGATGGTCTCCTCTACAATCTCTATCTATTTCCCAACTCTTCTCTTCCTCGTAAAACATATTTTACATGTAGCCTAACTTCAAGCTGAACAACAAAATTATGAGATTGACAGAATGTGTATCCAATTTGTCAACAAATTACATGAGAAAATATTTTCATGCTGTTTCAATCTCTCAAAGCTCAATATAATAGGCCAATAAATGTTTGGGGACAAATTAGTTAGCTACACAGCTGAGCTCGGAACACACTCACACACGTAAATATGACATCATTGGATTTTGGCTGTCTGGTCCTTATGCTTACAGGCCTCTTGTTAAAGCATGACATGTCTTACTTACACACACACACACACACACCAATACATTTTATAGATATCAAGAGTCTGAGTGAAATACGACCCACTATTTCTCAATGTTGTCTTTATCTCTGTGTGCCTCCCAAATGGCACCCTACTCTGTACATAGTGCATTACTTTTTAACAGGGCCCATAGGGCTCTGGTCAGAAGTAATGCACTACATTGGAAATAGGGTGCCATTTGGGGAACTGCCTGTGTCTTCCTCCTCATGTCTGAATAGCCAAAGAGATATCCCTGTCTGTCTGATTGGTTCCACATTATTTCGCTCTGCATCTGCTCTGTCTGCATAAGTCTCTGGTCAAAAGTAGTGCACTATATACGGAAGAGGGTGCCATTTGGGACTCACATTCACCCTTCTGAACAGAACTGATTATTATTACTAAAACATCATGCTGTATCTGGAGACTGTAATTGTTTAGTAAAAATATACCCCTGTTTTCTTATAGCATCATCTATGTTTGGTAGGCAGAGGCGTGTGTTTTAGCCTTGGTTAATAAACTACAATCACACACACACAGACACACACAAACACAGAGACACACACACACACACACACAAACAGAACACACACACACTCAAACCACATACATTTCACACGTGGATACAGTTATCCCTTGGAACACCCTGACACACTGTTGCCGCTGTGAACTATCCTTTCTTGAGCTGTATTACATCTGTCAAATTATCCAACACACACACACAGGTCTATTACACACATGCATGCGTTCACACACACACACTTCCATCATCTATCAAAACACGTCCTGGGTTTCAGGTCAGTTTTCTGTAATAACACAAACAGGAATTAACGCCCTGACTTTGTGTCAATTCAATTATGTGTTCTCTCATTTAAATTGTATTAGACATGCTCTGGCAGTGAGAAAGCCAAGAGCGTTGTAATTGTTTTTTTGAAGTTGTAAGTTAAGGTAAGTGTTGTGAAATCTTTCCTAGGACTCATAGTTATCTAAACATACTTTGTGATGTTGTGAAGCTTAAAATGACAATCGAATTTCCCAAGTTTGGGATAATAAAGGTCTTCTAGTCTAACTTTGAAAATCTTTTTTCTCCCTTTCTTGTAGTAGCCTAATATTGTAGAGCATGCAAAGAAAGAGAGAGTAGGTATTGGCTTTACAAGGTATCATAGAGGCTGTTATAAAGTCAGACATTCAACCACAGTATAAGACTGAAGAACAAAGCCAAACGATTTCTCTTTTATCTCTGATCTAAATAAAACTGCACTTCCTGTCAGTCTGTCATGTGACCCACTGACTTCCTGGAACCTGACAGCTGTGGTGATTGGCTGGCTCGCTGTGGGTTTTTCACTCACAACACACACATGGATGCATGGACGTGCACACGCACCTACACACACACACTGGCTATAGTTTCCTACCACTGTATTTTCCCAACCCTACTGTAGTCTGTGATGTTAGAAACACAGAAACACACACACACAGACAACTTCAACTTTAACTTGAACAGTGGTTGAAAAAGTACCCAATTGTCATACTTGAGTAAAAGTAAAGATACGTTAATTGAAAATGACTCAAGTAAAAGTGAAAGTCACCCGGTAAAATACTACTTGAGTAAAAGTCTAAAAGTATTTGGTTTTAAATATACTTAAATATCAAAAGTAAATGTAGCTGGAAAAATATACTTAAGTATAAATCATTTCAAATTGCTTATATTAAGCAAACCAAACGACACAATGTTCTTTTTTTAAATCTACAGATAGCCAGGGGCAAACTCCAACACTCTTCATTTACAAATGAAGCATTTGTGTTTAGTGAGTCTGCCAGATCAGAGGCAGTAGGGATGACCAGGGATGTTTTCTTGATAAGTGTGTGAATTGGACCATTTTCCTGTCAAAATGTTACGAGTACTTTTGGGTGTCAGAAAAAATGTATGGAGTAAAAAGTACACTATTTTCTTTAGGAATATTGTGAAGAAAAAGTAAAAGTTGGCAAAAAATATAAATAGTAAACTAAACTACAGATACCCCAAAAAACGACTTAAGTAGTACTTTAAAGTAATTTTACTTAAGTACTTTACACCCCTGAATTATAAAATCAATTAATGTAACTGTGTACCATCATTCAGTTTCTTAGCTGCCAAATGTGTAAAATAAACTCAAACTAAATGTGTCTTTTGGATTTTGGTTCTTTGTTAATAGGTTCCAATGGAGGTGTCGAATGGGGTCCAGAATGTTCCAGAACCTAGTCCAGAAAGTGTGGAACTGAAGGTTCTAGATCCCAGCCCAGACAATGAAAGCCCCATTCACTGTTTCGCCCACACCTTGGCTGAAGACATAGTACACTCAGCTACATATGAGTCCTCATCCGGATGTCCTCCAGTCCAGGAGAGATTGGCTGAGAAGTTAGCCTCTCTGGCCATCACAGCTGCCTTGAAGGAAGCAATTGGAAGTGAGCTCTTTTGGTCTAACACAAGATCTTGGTCCTATTCCAACCCCAGCCCATCCTCAGATAGAAGGGAGCAGGGTCTACACAATACAATACATGGAGAGGTTCATATGCACACAGAGATGAGTGGCAATAGTGAGACACCTCAATCCAATCCCAATGTGACCATCAAGTCCCACAGCTCTGGATCCTCCACCTCCACTTCACAACCTTCCAAGTACGCCCTCTCCTACTGCTCCTTCTTACCCCAGTCGGGGCTTCCCACAGTGGGATCACTGGACTACCCGGACGCCCCACCAACCACCCCTCTTCTCCCAGAGATGGTCCAGAGCAGGGCTAGCTTTACCCGAAAACTAAAGGGGGGTCTGGCTAAAGAGTTCCTCCCCTCGCCCCCTCCCCCTACCCCCAAGGAAAAGCACAGAGAGGGGGGGCTGGCGTTGGAGACCGTGGGGGAGGTCGAGGACACCCGGGAGGGGGAGGAATTCATGGGGCGTCTGTTACGCTCTCTTTCTCTAGAGTGTTCTGAGAGAGAGGAAGTTTGGAAAGAAGAGGAAGAGTTTGATATACCAACAGGTATTTTGACTGACGGCAATGGCGAAGTCAGTCATGAAGAGCGAGGACCCCACGGAAGGAGAGCCAAGTTGATGGTATATGTAGATGCACTCTCTGATGAGATCACCACCTGGATGACAAATAACATGACAAATATTGACGACCTCTCTCTGATGTCTGATCAAATGGCTGATCAAATCATTACATCCTCCATGAGTGAGGTGAGGCTGAGGAGGTACGTTGGAAGGCTGGTCTCAGATGCACTCTCCCTTGGCTGGGAAGAGCAGAAGGCAGCCTCTCTCCATGACTCCCTAGTTCTCCGACAGGAACAGATAGGGAGAGGGGAACCAAACCCAACGGACCAAGAGGCTCATCTAATTGTCTATCCTTATCCATATCCAACCACTCCCAACCAGTCATCCAGCATCCAACTTTGTTCGCCCAAACCCAATGAGATGGATCTGGATCTGACCACCAACACAGCCCACCCTCCAGCCCACTCTCCAACCTCTGTAATCAGTCAGTCCTATGCTGAAGACTTGGCCCGAGCTGTGGTGAGGTGTTGTGTGATAGAAGCCTCCAGGAAGCAGTGTATGTAGCTCTCAAGGGTTACATCCCAAATGACACCCTAATCCCTGTATAGTGTATTACTTTTGACCAGATCTCTGGTCAAATGTAGTACTCTGTATAGGGAATATGTGTAGTTGTCCAGGCTGGTTGGACTGTGGTGGAGGGCCTGGTGGTAACAAGAAACAAACTGACCCCAAGAGGGCGCCATTATAGTAATATTCAGCTCCTGAAGAAAGTGTTGGAGTTGGACAACAATTGGTAATGTCAAAACTGATGAGCTTGATATATGGCACAACCTTAACCCACAATTATGATGAGCTTTGTTTACGTGAGCTATAGACCGAATTAAGAATAAATGGACTTTAAATTTGCTAACTTCTGATGATATTGCCACAAGGTTGGAGTTAGTGGTCAAAATGACATGCTAGTATTGTCAGAACCGATGAGGTTGATTTACATGGGCTATAACCTAAACCCAAAATGAAGAATAAATTATTTATGTATAATTGCTCACTGACGATATTCCCTGCCACAAGGTTAGTTGTCCAGGCTGGTTGGACTGTGGTGGAGGGCCTGGTGGTAACAAGAAACAAACTGACCCCAAGAGGGCGCCATTATAGTAATATTCAGCTCCTGAAGAAAGTGTTTGAGTTGGACAACAATTGGTAATGTCAAAACTGATGAGCTTGATATATGGCACAACCTTAACCCACAATTATGATGAGCTTTGTTTACGTGAGCTATAGAACGAATTAAGAATAAATTGACTTTAAATTTGCTAACTTCTGATGATATTGCCACAAGGTTGGAGTTAGTGGTCAAAATGACATGCTAGTATTGTCAGAACCGATGAGGTTGATTTACATGGGCTATAACCTAAACCCAAAATGAAGAATAAATTCTTTATGTATAATTGCTCACTGACGATATTCCCTGCCACAAGGTTAGAGTTAGTGGTCGGACAATGTTGTCATGTACTTCAGCCTGAACCATAACTTTAACTGAAAGAGAAAATTGACAATATTTGCTTACTTCTGACGATATTGTCACGTGATTAATGGTTTAGAATGGGATTTGTGGTTAGGAGGTTATCTATTCTGTAACTTCTTGGACTAACCACAGCTGGACCAGCTAGGAGGAAACTATTGGGACAACCAACTGGGTCAAGATGACTCAGACCATCTTTCATCCACACACACACACACACACACACACACACACACACACACACACACACACACACACACACACACACACACACACACACACACACACACACACACAGGCTCATACGTGCACTGAACACCCATACGTGCACGAATGCACACACTCGCGCGCAGACACGGGCACACACACACATAAACTTTCCACAGCAGACACAGGGAGTGAGCAGGGCCAGAATAATGCAGGGGCTTACCGGGGCTGAAGCCCCTGGGCCCAGGCCTGTGGGGGGCCCAAGAGGCAACAAAAATACAGCTAAAAAAAAATAAAGAAAAAAGTTAAAGTCAAAAATATTAAGGAAATATATACTGTAAAGTATATATTATATATGTAGTATATATTTTATGTTTTTTTCACTTCAATCGCCAACCACAGGAAATCTCAGGAGCCTGCTGCTGCCGCTTTGCTAATCATCAAATGGGGGGAGTAGAGGAGGTAGGTGGCCCAAGTGGGTAACTGGGGGGCCCTGCCTTGATTGGGTAACTGATTAATAACAATAAATACAAAATGCATAATAAATATGTGACTGGTCAATTATGTGAGTCAGTGGCTGGGCCCAAGCATGTACTGGGCCCAAATGTACTGTATTATAATACATTTATTATTAGAATGTTTTATCCAACCACAGGAGTCCGCTCTCAATGTTCAAAATACACCAGAGAGCATAACTTAGCCACAGAAGATCAATAGTTTATAAAAAATAACTGTGGATTACGTTTTATTACAAGCACATACAAGTATCTGCCAAAATTAAGGAAACAACATAAAGTGTCTTAAACGGGTGTTGTGCCACCACGAGCTACCAGAACAGCTTCAATGAGCCTTGGCATAGATTCTACAAGTGGACCTAAACCATGCCAGGAAAATGCACCCACTTCTATTTAAAAAAAACGAAGCCCCCAGGCCTAAGATTTCTTAGCCCGGCCCTGGGAGAGAGTGGGAGTGAGGATGAGGTCAGTGTGTGTTTTTGTTTCTCTCTGTTGAGCTTGTGTTAGGGTGTGTGTGTGTGTTTGGTGGAGAAAGGGAGGCATATTGAGACCACAATAAGACTAGAAAAACAAGTGATTTTAGTGTGAAATCCAAACTCCTTGGTTACGTCCCAAAATGCACCCTATTCCCTATTAGTGCACTACTTTTGACCAGCGCCCATAGGGCTTTGCTTAAAAGTCTTGTATTATACAGTATAGTTTGGATTTCACACTAAAATTACTATTTCTTTTGTGAAATCAGTGTATGTTTCTAATAATCACGCTGTTATTTTCCCCCCTTTCAGATGTAATATGTAACAAGTTAGTGAAAATAATATATGGTTTGTGTTGCTTCACAGTACCGCTGTTCCATAAGTTGTATTTTTATCTATCTATTAAATCTAATTTTACTGCTTGCATGAGTTACTTGACGTGGATGTCAATCTCTTCTCCACTTTGAGCCAGGAGAGATTTACATTAATGTTAGCTCTCTCTGTACATCCAAGGGCCACCTGTGCCGCCCTGTTCTGAGCCAATTGCAATTTTCCTAAGTCCCTCTTTGTGGCACCTGACCACACAACTGAACAGTAGTCCAGCTGAGAGAAAACTAGGGCCTGTAGGACCTGCCTTCTTGATAGTGTTGTTAAGAATGCAGAGTAACGCTTTATTATGGACAGACTTCTCCCCATCTTAGCTACTGTTGTGTCAATATGTTTTGGCCATGACAGTTTACAATCCAGGGTTACTCCAAGCAGTTTAATCACCTCAACTCGCCCAATTTCCACATTATTCATTACAAGATTTAGTTGAGGTTTAGGGTTTAGTGAATTATTTGTCCCAAATACAATGCTTTTATTTATTTTTTTAATATTTAGGACTACCTTATTCCTTGCCACCCATTCTGAAACTAACTGTAGCTCTTAGTTAAGTGTTGCAGTCATTTCAGTCACTGTAGTAGCTGACGTGTATTGTGATAAGTCATCTGCATACATAGATACACTGGCTTTGCTAAAAGACTGAAAAAGACTAATGGGCCTTCACAGCTGCCTTGAAGGAAGCAATTGGAAGTGAGCTCTTTTGGTCTAACACAAGATCTTGGTCCTATTCCAACCCCATCCTCAGATAGAAGGGAGCAGGGACTACACAATACAATACATGGGGAGGTTCATACACACACAGAGATGAGTGGCAATAGTGAGACACCTCAATCCAATCCCAATGTGACCATCAAGTCCCACAGCTCTGGATCCTCCACCTCCACTTCACAACCCTCCAAGTACACCAACTCATACTGCTCCTTCTTACCCCAGTCGGGGCTCCCCACAGTGGGATCATTGGACTACCCGGACGCCCCCCCAACCACCCCTCTTCTCCCAGAGATGGTCCAGAGCAGGGCTAGCTTTACCCGAAAACTAAAGGGGGGTCTGGCTAAAGAGTTCCTCCCCTCGCCCCCTCCCCCTACCCCCAAGGAAAAGCACAGAGAGGGGGGGCTGGCGTTGGAGACCGTGGGGGAGGTCGAGGACACCCGTGAGGGGGAGGAATTCATGGGGCGTCTGTTACGCTCTCTCTCTCTCTAGAGTGTTCTGAGAGAGAGGAAGTTTGGAAAGAAGAGGAAGAGTTTGATATACCAACAGGTATTTTGACTGACGGCAATGGCGAAGTCAGTCATGAAGAGCAAGGACCCCACGGAAGGAGAGCCAAGTTGATGGTATATGTAGATGCACTTTCTGATGAGATCACCACCTGGATGACAAATAACATGACAAATATTGACGACCTCTCTGATGTCTGATCAAATGGCTGATCAAATCATTACATCCTCCATGAGTGAGGTGAGGCTGAGGAGGTACGTTGGAAGGCTGGTCTCGGATGCACTCTCCCTTGGATGGGAAGAGCAGAAGGCAGCCTCTCTCCATGACTCCCTGGTTCTCCGACAGGAACAGATAGGGAGAGGGGAACCAAACCCAACGGACCAAGAGGCTCATCTAATTGTCTATCCCTATCCATATCCAACCACTCCCAACCATTCATCCAGCATCCAACTCTGTTCGCCCAAACCCAATGAGATGGATCTGGATCTGACCACCAACACATTCCACCCTCCAGCTCACTCTCCAACCTCTGTAATCAGTCAGTCCTAAGCTGAAGACCTGGCCCGAGCTGTGGTGAGGTGTTGTGTGATAGAAGCCTCCAGGAAGCAGTGTATGTAGCTCTCCAGGGTTACATCCCAAATGACACCCAATCCCTGAATAGTGCATTACTTTTGACCAGATCTCTGGTCAAATGTAGTACTCTGTATAGGGAATATGTGTAGTTGTCCAGGCTGGTTGGACTGTGGTGGAGGGCCTGGTGGTAACAAGAACAAACTGACCCCAAGAGGGCGCCATTATAGTAATATTCAGCTCCTGAAGAAAGTGTTGGAGTTGGACAACAGTTGGTAATGTCAAAACTGATGAGCTTGATGTATGGCACAACCTTAAACCACAATTATGATGAGCTTTGTTTACGTGAGCTATAGAACGAATTAAGAATAAATGGACTTTAAATTTGCTAACTTCTGATGATATTGCCACAAGGTTTGAGTTAGTGGTCAAAATGACATGCTAGTATTGTCAGAACCGATGAGGTTGATTTACATGGGCTATAACCTAAACCCAAAATGAAGAATACATTATTTATGTATAATTGCTCACTGACGATATTCCCTGCCACAAGGTTAGAGTTAGTGGTCGGACAATGTTGTCATGTACTTCAGCCTGAACCATAACTTTAACTGAAAGAGAAAATTGACAATATTTGCTTACTTCTGACGATATTGTCATGTGATTAATGGTTTAGAATGGGATTTGTGGTTAGGAGGTTAATCTATTCTGTAACTTCTTGGACTAACCACAGCTGGACCAGCTAGGAGGAAACTATTGGGACAACGAACTGGGTCAAGATGACTCAGACCATCTTTCATTCACACTCAGACTCAGACGGTCTATCCACACACACACACACACACACACACACACACACACACACACACACACACAGGCTCATATGTGCACGAACACCCATACGTGCACGAATGCACACACTCGCGCGCAGACACGGGCACACATGCACACACACACACATAAACTATCCACAGCAGACACGGAGTGAACAGGGCCAGAATAATGCAGGGGCTTACCGGGGATGAAGCCCCTGGGCCCAGGCCTGTGGTGGGCCCAAGAGGCAACAAAAATACAGCAAAAAAAAAATTAAGAAAAAAGTTAAACTAATAAATATTAAGGAAATATATACTGTACAGTATATATTATATATGTAGTATATATTTTAATGTTTTTTCACTTAAATCGCCAACCACAGGAAGTCTCAGGAGTCTGCTGCTGCCGCTTTGCTAATCATCAAATGGGGGGAGTAGAGGAGGTAGGTGGCCCAAGTGTGTAACTGGGGGACCCTGCCTTGATTGGGTAACTGATTAATAACAATAAATACAAAATGCATAATAAATATGTGACTGGTCAATTATGTGAGTCAGTGGCTGGGCCCAAGCACGTACTGGGCCCAAATGTACTGTATTATAATACATGTATTATTAGAATGTTTTATCCAACCACAGGAGTCCGCTCTCAATATTCAAAATACACCAGAGAGCATAACTTAGCCACAGAAGATCAATAGTTTATAAAAAATAACTGTGGATTACGTTTTATTACAAGCACATACAAGTATCTGCCAAAATTAAGGAAACAACATAAAGTGTCTTAAAAGGGTGTTGTGCCACCACGAGCTACCAGAACAGCTTCAATGAGCCTTGGCATAGATTCTACAAGTGGACCTAAACCATGCCAGGAAAATGCACCCACTTCTATTTAAAAAAAACGAAGCCCCCAGGCCTAAGATTTCTTAACCCGGCCCTGGGAGAGAGTGGGAGTGAGGATGAGGTCAGTGTGTGTTTTTGTTTCTCTCTGTTGAGCTTGTGTTAGGGTGTGTGTGTGTGTTTGGTGGAGAAAGGGAGGCATATTGAGACCACAATAAGACTAGAAAAACAAGTGATTTTAGTGTGAAATCCAAACTCCTTGGTTACGTCCCAAAATGCACCCTATTCCCTATTAGTGCACTACTTTTGACCAGCGCCAATAGGGCTTTGCTTAAAAGTCTTGTATTATACAGTATAGTTTGGATTTCACACTAAAATTACTATTTCTTTTGTGAAATCAGTGTATGTTTCTAATAATCACGCTGTTATTTTCCCCCCTTTCAGATGTAATATGTAACAAGTTAGTGAAAATAATATATGGTTTGTGTTGCTTCACAGTACCGCTGTTCCATAAGTTGTATTTTTATCTATCTATTAAATCTAATTTTACTGCTTGCATGAGTTACTTGATGTGAATGTCAATCTCTTCTCCACTTTGAGCCAGGAGAGATTTACATTAATGTTAGCTCTCTATGTACATCCAAGGGCCACCTGTGCCGCCCTGTTCTGAGCCAATTGCAATTTTCCTAAGTCCCTCTTTGTGGCACCTGACCACACAACTGAACAGTAGTCCAGCTGAGAGAAAACTAGGGCCTGTAGGACCTGCCTTCTTGATAGTGTTGTTAAGAATGCAGAGTAACGCTTTATTATGGACAGACTTCTCCCCATCTTAGCTACTGTTGTGTCAATATGTTTTGGCCATGACAGTTTACAATCCAGGGTTACTCCAAGCAGTTTAATCACCTCAACTCGCCCAATTTCCACATTATTCATTACAAGATTTAGTTGAGGTTTAGGGTTTAGTGAATTATTTGTCCCAAATACAATGCTTTTAGTTTTTTAAATATTTAGGACTACCTTATTCCTTGCCACCCATTCTGAAACTAACTGTACTTGTCTTTCATATTTTGGTCAGATATACTTGGATGTGTAGTGTCAGCATTTGTTGCAGCATCATGTCATGCCTAAATTTGCTAATCTTGCCAATGAGAAAATCATGAAAGAAAAGTAGTTGGCAATATAGGTGGGTTTTGTGATGAATGAGCCATGTGATTCAATGAATGATGGAGCTGAGTTTGCCTTTTTCTTTCTCCAAAACTTCAATTAAGTTGCTCCAAAGCTTTTTACTATCATTCTTTATGTAATTTATCTTTGTTTCATAGTGTAGTTTCTTCTTCTTTTTATTCAGTTTAGTCACTTGATTTCTCAATTTGCAGTACATTTGCCAATCAGTTTTGCAGCCAGACTTATTTGCCATTCTTTTTCCTCATCCCTCTCAACCATACCATTTTTCAATTCCTCTTCAATCCACAGGGATTTAACAGTTTTTACAGTCATTTTTTAATGGGTGCATGCTTATTAGTAACTGGGATAACCAATTTCATAAATATGTCAAGTGCAGCGTCTGTTTGCCCTTCATTACAAACCATGGACCAACAAATATTATTTTCATCAACAACATAGGAATCACTATAAAACGTATTGTTGACCTCTTATACACAATACAGTGCCTTGCAAAAGTATTCATCTCCCTTGGCGTTTTTCCTATTTTGTTGCATTACAACCTGTAATTTAAATTGATTTTTATTTGGATTTCCTGTAATGGACATACCCAAAATAGTCCAAATTGGTGAAGTGAAATGAAAAACTCACGGACCAGGCAAGGAGGGCATTAATCAGAGAGGCAACAAAGAGACCAAAGATAACCCCGAAGGAGCTGCAAAGCTCCACATCGGAGATTGGAGTATCTGTCCATAGGACCACTTTAAGCCGTACCCTCCACAGAGCTGGGCTTTACGGAAGAGTGGCCAGAAAAAAGCAATTGCTTAACGAAATAAATAAGCAAACACGTTTGGTGTTAGCCAAAAGCCATGTGGGAGACTCCCCAAACATATGGAAGAAGGTACTCTGGTCAGATGAGACTAAAATTGAGCTTTTTGGCCATCAAGGAAAACGCTATATCTGGTGCAAACCCAACACCTCTCATCACCCCGAGAACACCATCCCCACAGTGAAGGATGGTGGTGGCAGCATCATGCTGTGGGGATGTTTTTCATCAGCAGGGACTGGCAATCTGGTCAGAATTGAATGAATGATGGATGGCGCTAAATACAGGGAAATTCTTGAGGGAAACCTGTTTCAGTCTTCCAGAGATTTGAGACTGGGATGGAGGTTCACCTTCCAGCAGGGCAATGACCCTAAGTATTCTACTAAAGCAACACTTGAGTGGTTTAAGGGGAAACATTTAAATGTCTTGGAATGCCCTAGTCAAAGCCCAGACCTCAATCCAATTGAGAATCTGTGGTATGACATAAAGATTGCTGTACACCAGCGGAACCCATCCAACTTGAAGGAGCTGGAGCAGTTTTACCTTGAAGAATGGGCAAGCTTATAGAGACATACCCCCAAGAGACTTGCAGCTGTAATTGCTGCAAAAGGTGGCTCTACAAAGTATTGACTTTGGGGGGGTTAATAGTTATGCATGCTGAAGTTCTGTTTTTTTGTCTTATTTCTTGTTTGTTTCACAATAAAAAATATGTTGTTGTGTAAATCAAATGATACAAACCCCCCCAAAAAATCTATTTTAATTCCAGGTTGTAAGGCAACAAAATAGGAAAAATGCCATTAGGTCCAGCTTTTGGAACTTTGGCTTTCCTAGATGTGGCTACTATATTGTGATCACTACATCCGATGGATTTGGATACTGCTTTAAAGCAAATTTCTGCAGCATTAGTAAAGATGTGATCAATACATCTTGATTATTTCATTCCTGTGCAGTTTGTAACTACCCTGTTAGGTTGACTGATAACCTAAACCAGGTTGCAGGCACTAGTTACAGTTTGAAGCTTTCTCTTGAGTGATGAAAGCCAGTCAATATATTAAATGACCCAGAAAATATACCTCTCTGTTGATATCACATACATTATCAAGAATTTCACACGTTATCCAGATACTGGATGTTAGCACTTGGTGGTCTATGGCATCTTCCCACCAGAATGGGCTTTAGGTGAGGCAGATGAGCCTGTAGCCATATTACTTCAACAGTATTTAACATGAGATCCTCTCTAAGCTTTACAGGAATGTGGTTCTGAATATAAAAGGTCACACCTCCACCTTTGGATTTCTGTATTTTCTGTAGATCTTATAACCATGTATTGCTACCACTGTATC